AGAGAGAGAGAGAGAGAGAGAGAGAGAGATGGGGAAAGGGCAGGGGGAGAAAGAATCCATTTATTGATCTAACAGCCACTTCTTTCAGTACTACTTTCATTAATTTCCTTTCCTTTCCTGAAATTCTCAACAGTCTCCCTAGTCACCAGATTGAGGTCCCCAGTTTATTTACACTACCTTTAGGAATAATTGTCCAGCGTTCACAGTCATATATAGAAGGGCTGATCACACACAAACTTAGCCTTAAAACAACCTTTTGTTGTTGTTGTTGTTGTCATTCCAAGCTCTCCGGCTGGAGGCAGAGAGACGTCTCTTTCTTCCCGCGACACCCAGAAGGGTATACGCGGCGGATAAAAGAAAGAAGAAAAAAGAAGTTGTTGTCCTTCATACGCTCCTACAGCAGTAATTTCCCTTTGTAAACCAACATTAAAAAAGGGACTTTCCAAAGTTACATGTTTCTATTTTCATTGTACTCTGAACTAGTCTCGCACAGAACAGTAGATCAAGCTAACGACCTCAGAAACGGCTTGAAATTGGTCGCTTTTAAGGACAAGCGGACTAACCCAGATTTCGGGGGTTTCCAGAAATCTTGACCAACACCAAAAGTAGGCATTGCCCTATCTATAGGAGAAGTTTGGTTTCATTGGTGTGTATATGTGTTTGGTTATAGAGAAAACTCTCCTAGTCTTTTAAAGAAACTGAACAAGGGACAAAAACTTTACCTTCGATTTTCTCTAAACAGCATTTTTCGGGAGAGCCCCCTTGTGATTAAAAGCGATCAATTATACGAGTAGACCGCGGGGACAAAGATGCAGTCACAAAACGAACGTTGTGAGGCAGTTACTTATTCTGTATGCTTGTAGACTCATAATTCCATTTCTGTTTGACTGTTGTTTTGATTTAGCTGTTAGTTGAGTGGATAATCAAACAATACTTATGATTATATTATACCAACAGAACAGAAACTTAATTAAGAGTCTCCAAGCATTTAAAGTTAACACCTTCACATTGCCATGCTAGTTTGCTTAGCGGGCTCCTCATCTAATTATTTGTTGTTTTTTAAAGATGTACATAACTTTCAGCTCTACTCTATTTGAGTTCTTTTTATTTTGGCCATAAGATTCATAATACCTTAGTAAGAAAGTTTAAACTGCCAAAGTTTGGAGTGGGGCTAACCTCCTTATCGCCTCTCCCCCTCCCCTCCCCTTCCTTTCCCCCACCCCAGACATCAGGAGACCATGAGTTCGCTAAAACAGCCCTGGCGGCTCTCAACAACCTGTGCCGGGACAAAATCCGCAGGAACCCCAAAAACTACAAACCCAACAAAGATGGCGTGCTGGAGATTTTGCCCGAAGTCTCCACGGAGATTTGCTCTCAGGTAACAAGCTTTGTTCTTTTTTTTTTTT